TTTGATTCTCACAGCAAATCAATGCGAGGTATGATTTTTATTAGTCCTGTTTTAATGATGGAAAAAAACAACTTACTCAAAATCTCAAAAGTAGAAGCAGCGGCCCTTAATCTTCTTGACTTGAAGCCACTGTGCTGCTGATTCACTCCTACCTTGCTGCTTGTCTGATACAGTTCTGTGGAACAGCAATATGCGCTTCAGCCATACGCGAGTGAACTCATCAGGATATTTGCAAGGTCTGGGAATCAGAACGCAACACCTTTCAGTCCTGGCTCTAACTGCCTGGTATATCTTGGAAAAGGTGTTTGATTTCTGTCTTCCTTGATTTGTTACTCTGTCTATTAAATGAGAATGGGAGGATGCAGATGTCTCTAACACACACACACACACACACACACACACACACACACACACACACACACAAATGTTGTAAAGATCACATGAGAGCCTTGGAAGCTTTAAAGGAGACTGCTACACACCAATTAGGTTACCCGCAAGGGGCTGGGCTGGCGGTCAGCAAAGGCATACGCGGCATTTGGATTACCCAGCCGTAGTGATTGCAGAAACACCTTCCTATGCCCTTGCTCATTCAGATGATAGTTTCAAAGAAATGTTGGGAAAGTCGTTTAGGAAACCTTAATTAGGCACTGGAGTTAACTATTGTGCTTTAATAACTCATAGGGCACAGGTTAAATAGCTAAAACACCATTAGTACTGAAGAAATATGCTTCAAAATTAATAAATAATATAAACCTAACACCTAGACTAGTTGGTGGTATTATTCCTCAGGCAAACTCCGTATGTTTGAGGGTTATAAATTATACGCCTCCCTCTTACTTCCTGCTGAAAGCACAATTTTACAACTGGGTACAATTTTCTTTTTACAGTTTTAAGATTTTTTTTTCCCTTTCAAAAGGTTTTTGGTAAAACTTTAAAAATACTGTTGCAGGAGGAGAGGAGCATCTATTTTTTTTCACTCAGGTGATTATTTAAAGATGTATGCGGAATTTGAGTTAATAACATTTCAAAATTTCAGTCTAATTTGAGATGTATTGAATTCTCAGTATCTTTTAAAATAATTTGAAATAATATGTTTTCAGTAGCCTATAAAAATGAAATTGTGTGTTTTCTGATTTGTGGATATAACTAATGATCACTGGACTTTTGCAACAAAATCATGTAATCAGTATAAGCCAAAGAAAATACTTTGCTTCTTGAGTTTTCCCAAATCTTCACCCCTAGACCTGGTTTTTCCCTCAAACAAGGTAAAATTTTAACTTAATGTAACATGATAGGAAAAACATATTTGGATAGAAAATGAGATATTCCCCATAGCTTCCAATAATTTCTTATTATAGTAAATATTTAGGGAAAAACTATATTAGAATCAATAATGTGCTATTGCAACAGAAGTGCTTACCAACCTGGAGGAGATTAGTACTTACAGACCTAATCACCTCTTACTACCAGCCTGAGTTTTGATGAGAAGCTCAACAGAGTACTTCATATCTTAGTTTTATGCTAAAGTCCACTTTGGAAACTTGTGCCTTGAAACCAGAAAATGAGGCAAAGAGACAGAACAAAATATCAGGCAATGGGATGAAATATAGATGCAGCGGCAGATGGGCATCAAAAAGCCATCTGGAAGTAGTGAGGCAGTGCCCCGCCATGCAGTACTGTCATTATGAGGTCCCTGTGTGGGTTGAGTGAGAATATTAACAGGGAGTAGAAGCACTTGTTGAGAATGCCTACCAAAGGGAGATGCCAGACACGGTGTGCATTAATATTAAGGTAACAGAATTATTTAGTCACTGATAGTCATCACTAGAACTAAGTGTTCCTGATCTCTCTGAACCTTTCCTGAATCCTCAGGTACTTCAGGGATCCTTGAATACACCCCATTAATCTGCCCTTCTCTCAATGACTGAGACAAAAAAACACCACTGTGACCTACAAGTAACATGTATTCTAGAACTTTTAACTGTTCTGTTAATTTAACTAAACTTTCAAATTTCAGTTTCCATTACCTATCTTGCATTTCTCATTAATTGAGGTTAAAGCAAGGTCTGCAAGAATCTGGTCACAGGCTTGTCAAATTTCCACACACGCTATTGTTGGGCCTCCCTTTGTCTCATAGCAATAGCAGAATTGTTCATCAGTTTGGACCGCTTTCAAAGTGAAGTGCTTTTGCAGGTATCAAAAACTTCAGCTATTCTGCATTTAATCAGCTGCACAGTGAACATTGCCTTTCTCCTCCATGACTTGAATAATAACCCTTAAGTAACTGTTTCTCACTTTACTGTCTTCGCAAGGTCTGGCCAATGTCAGAATGCATCTGTGTTAGTCTAGGTAATGAGGATTGGGTTCCCAACTTGAACCTTCACCAACAACCACAATGCAAAAATGCACGTAGTTAGCACAACCTGGTTATATTTTGAAAAGAATGTAAACCGCTGTTTACAATAAAACGTTGGCCATGTATCTATCCTTTTTGAAAAAAAATGGTACCTTTGTTGTCATCAGTAAAATATCAGGTCAAATATATTCTTTAGATAATGACTGTCATCCGAAAACTATGAGTATACAAAATGTACCCATAACAATAGAAATGTAAATTTATCTTTGTGTTTATAATGCATGTAGGATTACTTAACAGCTGTGGATGTTTTTAGATGACATTTTAGGTAATGGGGTTTTTGATTTTTAATGAACAAAATCTAGATTACTCATTTAACATTCATGATTAAACTTTGCCTATTCCTCTTACTTGTGACAATGATCTCTGCTCAATTTTAGTTGTTTGGGTGTTTTATATCATCAACTTTTAAAAGTCACTTTTAGTAAGTGTGTGTTTAAAGCTGTGTGATCTTTATTTCTAATATTGTGTTTCTCCTCTCTCTTCTTTTTGTCTTTATCCACAGAATGTCTTTGTAGATAAACCAGCATTTCCAGAGTATAAAGTTTCTGATGCAAAAAAGTCCAAATTCATACTTTTGCATTTTAGCACTTTTAAAGCTGGCTGGGACTGGCTTATTTTGTTGGCGACGTTTTATGTTGCCGTGACCGTACCTTACAACGTTTGCTTTATTGGCAATGATGACCTGTCCACGACTCGGAGCACAACAGTCAGTGACATTGCAGTGGAGATTCTTTTTATTATAGGTAAGAACCAAGTGCTTTCCTAGGAGATTTGAATAAAGGAAGTAAGCGTGTTCCAGATTTTTCTGACATGAATTTGAACTAAGATCCGTTTGCATGGGCATGACTCAGCCTCTGATGCAAATTTTGGAGAAGCACATACTGTATTTGGATTTCCGAAAATTGCCTCTTCCAGTTTTTCCTCTGTGTCTTTATTCAAACAGATCTAAACTGATGTTCTGTGTTTCTATACTTATTTCATCAAAAATGGGCTAAAAAAGACTTAATGGCAGTTTTGTTTATACTCTCACATCCTTCATGATCTGAACTGTGTAAGGTCAGAGATGGGGCATGGCAAGAACCCACTAGTGGTATCCTGACTGCGGTCCAGTCCTGGGTGTGGCTCTTTCTCCCTGCTTTTCCGTGCTCTTTCAGCATGTTGATGGTGGTTTCAATAAGTGGCCTTCTTGCAGAATCAAGGGTTACATAAGCCTTCCAGTAAATCAGGACAAGCAGTGAGTATCTGATTTTAATTAAAGAAGAGGCCCCAAGGGATATTTGCTAAGGTTATTTATCTCTAGAATATTGGGAACCTCAGTTGAAAATGCATCTGCTCCAATCTTGTAAGCCTATTCCTATTTTCCTGTCCCTTAAATCTTCATCTCATTTAGACCAAAACCTAGATCTTTTCTCCTCATTCTAGGACCGATACTGGGTCTCTCTATTAAGACACAGATTGACTTTTTGTTGAGTTCTTGATCATCGTTAGCAACTGATGCCCGCTTCTTTACCTCGTCATGGTGTTATAGGGCAACATTCTTATTGTAAACATGAGAGAAATTTTGGAAAATATTTTCAAGCAGGAAGGTGAACAAAGGAGTAAGAAATGGATCTTGAAAGTTCAAAGAAAAGGAAATAAGTAAATGAGGCAGATCAAAACCTTGTTTCAATGGTGGCAGTAATTTTTCTCAGTGAAGCTATTAAGTAAAGCTTTGGGACCAGAGTGGTTCTGTAATCAAATGTCAGCACATGTTTTCTTTGGATGCATTTGTGTGCTCTTGGTAGGGCCTGGCATCACTATTAACATTGCATTTGCTGGGCACACCCCTTAGAGCCCTGTTAGGACCCCTGCTCCCACCCCAGAAGTGGTAGCTGCAGTATATTTAGGCCACTAGATGGCAATATTGTCTAGTTAGGCAGATAGGTAAGGCTACAAACTCAGGGAAATTTATCTTTAAATTTTTTTTTTAACTAAAGCTATTCTTTATTAGAAAGACACAAACATAAAGAGATCTATTAAATCAATGTTAGATGG